AACTGAGTGACTGTGTAACCATTTCACCATTTGAGGCACATTCATCAAATATTGCTGCACTGTGATGCTATTGTTAGGTTTAGTTGTGTATAATGAGAGTACTGTGAGTTACTCCCAAGCCCGTTGTGCAGAATTGAATACATAATCGTTAGGTCAAATGATGGTTGAATACAGAAACTCTGAGTTATGAATAGGTGTAGTTACAAATCAGGATCTGGAGAAGCTCATTTGAGTGTTTTTCTGCTGTTTTTGGTTTATCTCAGACATCAGAGAGGTGATGGATTGACTGAAAAACTGCCTGGGTGTCAGTGATCTTTGATAAACGCAAAGTGCAGAAGGTGTAACAGCTAAGTAACGGTGGCCAGCGCTGTAACAAAGACGACTTCTGTTCATTTTCTGTCGCCGATGACGGAAAATCTGACGTCATTTTGACAGTTTGGGAAATGAGAGCGATTTACTGCAACATAAATAGTTGCTCTAAAGGGCTTTTGTTTTCTACACATGACATAAAGCATTACACTGGCCAATCCTCCCTCGAGGTATTGGATTGTGTCTGTGTGACCGCACTCAAAGACCTCGTGGCCCTACAGAGGAATGCAGCTGCTCCCTGCTGTAGAAGTGCATTCCAGGATCAGGTCTCATGTTCAGACTGGCCTCGCTGATCTGACTTCCCTGAGAGAAGTGAGAAGTGATTCCCTAACTGAGAAAAAAAAAAAATAAAGGTACTTTTGGTTGCTCCCTTCATCACCTCAGCGGATGGATCCACGTTTGATTCGGCACAGTCTTTATGCTCGGTGCCCTAACTGATGCAACCGTCGCTTAGGACCAGCACTGTGACGACCTCAGGCCGGGTTTGTGTAGACTCCCAGTTTGAGGTTTCTTACATATAAGGTGAATGTGTTAAGTGTTAGTACTGGAAATTCCACTTTCCTGTCTGGTTGCTGATTAAATTCAGTCAGACGTCAGATATCGGTGCAAAATCAAATAACGATCACTTGCCGTGATCTCCTAACAGTGTTTTGAGTTTAGTTTATATTTTCCTGTTTGGCTGCATTGTTTTAGTGTCTCGGCTGTCCCAGCAGAAGAAAAGCAAATAAAATCATCAGCTTAGTGTGTTTTTAACTTGACGATCATCTTGCCTGTTCATGCCCTCATAAAATAAACACTTTGCCTGCTGTTAGATGTATCTCATTGTAAATTAAAAAGGCAATTAATGATGGCTTACTTGCCACTAGATGAACTTCCATCTAGTCTTCTTGCCACCTCAGACCTGCACACAGTTGCACAGTACAAACCCACAAGTCCTTTCAAATGTTTCCCACGCTGCCTGTCCAATTTTACCCTTTATTGGAGAAAGTTTCTGCATAGCATAATGCTTTCCCACCAACTATATAAATATTTCTTAGTCAAAAACCCTTAAAGTGATTGTGACATCCTCACCCGCCTTAGTGGAAGATCCTGTTCTTCGTATCAAAGTTATAATGAGACGAATTTGCAGTTAAGCACAA